ACTACTGGGAAAAAGGCCAAAAAAAAAAAAAAAAAGATATACACCATCAGCAAAACTGATGCTTTAGCATAATCTTAACATTTAAAAACTTTGCCTAAGTAAAAAAAAAAAAAAAAAAAAAATTCCCCTTCCTTAATAATGAGAAAAGTACTCTTCTAGCAATACGGGAAATCCAAGAGGTTACAGCAATTGTGCTTTCACCTACCTCTCATTTCCCAAACCACCAAAGCCAGTTGCCGTCAAGTCAACTCCGACTCATGGCAACCCCATGTGTGTCAGAGTAGAACTGTGCTCCATAGGTTTCAATGGGCTGATTTTTCAGAAGTAGATCACCACGTCTTTCTTCTGAGGCACCTCTGGATGGACTCAAACCTTCAACCTTTCAGTTAGCAGCTGAGTGCATTAACCGTTTGCACCACCCAGGGACTCCCAAACCATAGGAACACAATTTTGAGAAACGTGTTCAAGGGTAAATTGTATCCTCTGATCCCTAATGGATGAGAGGCCTCAAAAGGGGAGCGATATCATAAGTTTACTATGTTGTGAATGCCCCCACCCTGTCTGATCATTTAGGGCATTTAGCACATCAACTGTTACCCTGGAATGCTCTGACACGTGTGTGACACTTCAGAAGGTTTCCAGAAGTTTGAGGCAGGAAATGCTAATCCCCTCTCACTAAATAGAGATTTCCAATACAAGCCTACTATCATTTTTCTAAATGTTTTCAAGTCTGAAACATATCAGTTCGCACTTGGCTCTAAACTGTTTCAGGACTAAAAATTATCCCCCTCTCCCCCAATCAAGATTTTAAGCCCATTCAGACCAAGGATTACATTTCCTACCTCTGTCTGTTGCCACCTTTCATGCAAAGTACTGTACTGGGCTCACAAAACTCACTTAAGATTCCTAACCACATTCATTCAGGTGACTGGACGTGACCAAACAACCACAAAATATCTCTCTCTGGCTCAGGGAAATAAAATTACATGAGGAGAGAGTGAGGGGTGTAGCAAATAAGATAAATGAACCATCACAGAAGGGAAAAACCCCAAAGGGGGAAAAATTAAATCCATAAATACTGAACACCTAAATGGCATTGAGTTAACTCATAAAATAGTGATTACATCCAACTGCAACAGTGCTGTATCTTTTAAACACATTATATAAGCCCTAGCATTAAAAATCCAAAGATTATAATGTGCTCTATCGATAAATACAGGCTCAACATATTAGATGAGCCAAGATGACAAGTATTTGAATCGGAAACAAAAAACCATGTGTGTAGAAACATTTGGAGGCAGGTTAAGTGATATTTGAGAAAGCAGTGGTGAGTACGTGTGTTTGGAGGAGGGGTAAATGAATCAGTGTTTCTGGCAGAAATCTTTCCAAGCATTTTAGGAACTAATCCAGACTATGAGACAGGTTTCTATCTTTAAAGCAATGCTTAAAGATTATGCTCTTATTTTAAAAGCATAGTAGCTTGGCTGTTTGAAATATGCCAAAAGGATTTCCCTCTGTGGTTTTTTCCTCAGGGGAATAATGATTAATATACAGCAAGAAATTTAGTCCCTTCCCCAAATAAATTACGGCTGAGTGCAGTTGTCACTATGACACGTGTTCTTAACTGCTGAAACACAGGAATTTACTGGCCAATGCCACAAAGAATTCTAGAAGAAGTTATAAATCCCCTTTCATCACCTTGGAAAACAATATTCATTTATGAAAAGCTATCAGTTCAAGTTCAACGCAACTCTGTCTGGAGTAAATTCTGGTCTGCCAAAATCTTTCAAAATTAAGAAGCAAGGTTTCAGCATGGTCAAACACAGGGCCTGGTCTTGAATAGATCAGGTTAGGAGGGAGGCTTCATCAGTGAGGTAAACAACATTACTAGACTCCACTGTTCTGCAAAGTTAGCACTTCCCTAAGCCCAACTCTCCGTATATACTGATGACTTTCCCCTCCTGGGTCATTTTAAAGTCTTTCAAGGCAGCCAACCAGCCCCTAAAGTGGCCTGGCCAGATTCCTCTGTAAAAGCTCCCTCCTTGATTTTTATCCCTTGTGGTTGGCAAGGAGGTCTCCTTATTCTCCAGGCCTTGCTATGGTGCACAAGGGATGGCCCGGGCCTAACTGCATTGGGTTGGCTGTAGTACAACCCGTGAGCCTGGCCCACGAGAGGTCCCTAGCAATCCCATAAACTACAATGGCTGCCAGCAAAGTCCCGGTCCCCTAGCTAGAGCACCCCCCACCACCCCACCACCCCCAATCACCAGAAGAAGGCAAAGTTCTGAAGTTAAAAATGAAGCAACATTCCCTTCAACGACGCCCTACAACCGCGCTCTCTGGTCTCCTCCCTCTGGAGAACATCCCAGTCAGAGGACAGACAACCTTTGAGCTCCCTTTTCCCGTGACCAATTCAACACGCCTCACCTCTACTCCAGTGTTACTTAACTTGTAAACAGTTCCTGGTCGTACTTGGAAAAGCAATGCCCAAGCACCTCCCTCTGCACCGCCTCTCTCCATTTGCCTCTTCCCCAGGATCAGGCAACCCCACCCGACCAGGATGTCCTGCTTGGCAATGCCCCTTCAACCCATCTCCAAAGGCGCCGGGCCAAAATCCTTCCCTTAAGGCTGACAGAGTTCTACCACCCCCACCTTGGCTATTGAGCATTATTTTAACACTCTCGCCTCCCGGCCGGGGGACTCCCCCCACCATGGGGACTCGTCCAGCAAAGTAAACAATGCTGTCAAAGCAGGATAACGTTGGGCGAGGCTTCCAAACTCCGCGTTCCAGCCTCCTCCTTGTGTTCTAAAAGCAGCAAAACAAGTCATTGCAGGGTCCCAGGAGCGAAATTACTCTCCTCAGGTTCCTTTCTAAAAAGGCCCGGAAGGCAGCGCCAAAATCAAACATTAACGTGCAAAAATTCACAACTTGCAACAGGTAGAGGTAACACAGCGAGTGCAAGGCCAAGTGTAGACGAATTTGCCCGAGAAGGAGCGGACAGGGAAAAGAAAACTGGGTCGAGTGCGTAAACCTGCCACCAAGCGGGAACAAGAGCTTTTATTTCGCGTCGGGTGAGCCTCGTTCCCACAGTGGGCGCGCACTGGATCGAGTTGCGGGAAAAAAAGAAGGCGAAGTTAAGGCTCCCAAAGCGCGGACGCGCCCCGAAGGCAGTCTTCAGGGGGCTTTGATGAAGCAGGGGGAAGGTGGGAGGCCGAAGCGGCCCCGCGTGGACGAGTTGCACAGAACCGTGGCGGGGCACGGGGACACCTGGGAGGGCTGGTGCAGGTTCTGGGGGGCTGAGGGGCGCGCAGTGGCGGGGGCTGCGGCGAGGCGGCCGGCGCTCACCTCCCGGCGTGGTGGAGAACAGCGTCCCCCCCGGCGTGGTGCAATAGTCATGAGGTAGCTGCGCGGCGTCGCTGATGGGCACGGTGCGCGTGGGAATGGCGCGGCTCTGGCTGGGCTGGTGGCCGCTGCCGGCGGACGAGGACATGGCTCTCGGCGCAGGCTCTCGGGCTTTGTCCGACGGGCAGGCGGGCGGCGGCGGCGGGGGCTGCGGGGCCCAGGCTGCTCCTGCTCCTAAGGCGGGCGGAACAGCGGGCGGGGCTGAGCGCGCTCCGCTCCCTCCTCGCTCGCTTCCTCTCGCTCCGCTCCCGCCGCCGCCCTCTCAGCCGCCGCCGCCGCCGCCGCCGCCCGTTCCTCCGGCCTCCGCGAGCAGCTACACCAGCAGCAGCAGCGGCAGCAGCGGCGACGAGGACGACCGGAAGCTGGCGAAGGCGGGAGCCAGAGGGAGCTCGGGAAAGCGGGTCGACGAAGGTGACGTATCGAGGGGCGGGGCGATGTTGTAGGGGCGGACCTAGGGGCTGAGTGGGCGGGGCCTCGGGCGTGGTGGGACTTAACCCTTAACATGTGACTGGCCGCATTTGGTCCAGTAAGTAGTTCGCAGACCCGGGCTTTGACTTACACCGTCCGTTTACTCAACAAAATACTTACGGAGCACCGACTGTGTTCTAGGAACTGTCCTGGGGGGAGGGGTAATACAGCAGTAAACAGGACAGACAGACTCTTTGCCAATATGGAACTTGCATTAGCCTTCCCCTCTCCCAGCCAGGTTTGTTTTCCCTCTTTCTGATCCACCACAGCCCCTGTGCACACTGTGGTGACCAGAACCCACCCTTTGCGTGAGCGTCTTCTACCTATGCATCTGATTCCCCTGCAGAACTGTCAGCTCTTCGAGGGTGAGGCCTGGGTCCTCTTTGCCTTGTATCCTCACGGGGCCTGGCACAGAACCAGCCTGTGGTCGAAGTTTGTCAAACTGCCTTTTTGAAGACTTTGTGGAAGGTAGATAAACATTAGACACCGTCACGAACAGATAGGTCTGGGATAGCAAGAGGCCTTTTAGGTTTCCTTTTCAGATGAGAATGTTTATCAACTGGCTTAAAGTATAATTTAAATACATTAACATGCACCCCTTTTGAGTGTCAATGAATTTTGACAAATGTTTGTTGTTGTTAGTTGCTATCCAGTTGATTCCAAGTCATGGTGACCCCATGTGTTTCCTAGTAGAACTGCTCCATAGGGTTTTCTTGGCTGTAATTTTTTTTTTTTTTAGTTTTGGTGAAAATACACACAGCAGAACATACACCCATTCATCAGTTTCTACATGTACAATTCAGTAACATTGGTGACATTCTTCACACTGTGTCACCGTTCTCACTATCACTACCCATATTGTTTCACCACCATTGACTTAGAGTCACTACCCCCTGTAATTGTAATGGAAGTAGACCTCCAGGCCTATCTTTCGTGGTACCCCTGGGTAGGTTCGAACCACCAACTTTTAGGTCAGCAGTTGAGGGTAAACCGTTTGTGTTATCCTTGAAACATCACCACAATCAAGACATAGAACATTTTCAACACCCCAAAGAGTACCCTTGTGCCCCTTTACCATTAGTGCCTGCCCCCAGCCCCAGCCTCAGGCAATCACTGATCTGCTTTCTACCCCATAGATTAGTTTTGCCAGTTCTAAAACTCCATATAAATGGAATCATACTGTATGTTTTATGTCTGTTCTCTTACTCAGCATAATGTGTTGCTTTTATCAGCAGCTTATTCCTTTTTATGGCTGAGTAATGGATGTACCACAGTTTGTTTGTTTAGCAGATGCGAATTTAAAAGAAAAAGATCTTTTCCTGCTCGCCTAGGGCCTACCATGGGGAACTAGGAAGACCTTATGGGACCTCAAATGTACACACTGGGTATAGTCTCTGAATGAAGTTATCTGTATAGTTGGGAATCAGGAAGCTGCAAATGCAGTTGTGACCCCACAGACACAGAGACCCCTAGATCCATATCTGATGTACTTCAAGGACTGAGTGTACAAAACACACCACAATTTTGGCAAACCTGTCTTGACATTTAAAAAAATTTATTACTATAACTGGAATTTCAAAAAATGAAGGTGACCTGGGTATCACCAGACCCTGGGGCGCCCTTTCTGTAGTTATCTGTTTCAGAGTTTAACCACCCAGCTTCCCAAAACTCATTCTTCCAAACTCACCTGCACTTTGCCTGGTGCTTCTGCTCCCTGGGGTTCTGTCTTTCCCAGGGCAGAGGAGGCTGGTCCCCACCCCCTGTCATGTAGCCACCCACACTAGATCTCTATCATTATAAAGATAATAGCCCCTTACGTTTGGATAACACTTTTCCACTTTACAAAGCACTTTCACAGTCATTATCTCATTTACCTGTGATATAGGCAGGTCCCTTATTATCCTTATCACTTTACAGGTGAAGAAACTGAGGCTTAAAGAGGGTAAGTGACTTCTCAGAGGTCATACAGCCAGGACAGTGGAGCTGGGACTAGAACTCAAGCTTCTGGTGGCTGTCCTATGCTCTTCCTATGTTCCCCCAGACCTCCTACACTTCTAAAGACTGCAAGTTGCCCATTACATTGTCATCACACACGCTGACTCATTGGAGGTATGAACAGCATCCATTTCCTGAGCTCTTGAAACTTAAGAGACAGGATGTGTTGAGAAGGGGATAATAATAATACATAACATTTATAAGCGTCTGGGCTGTGCCAGGTGCTGTACTAGGCCTTTTAGAGATCTTATCTCTAATACAACAGGCATACAGGTAGGTATTATTATGTCTATGTTACAGATGAGGAAGCAACCTCAGAGAAGCCAGCTTGCCCAAGGTCACCTGCTATACATTCTAGAAATTTCTTTAGCCTCTCCCTGTTGTTGGGAGCAGTCCAACATGCACAGGCTTTGATGTCAGACATGCCTTGCTTCAAATGCTGGCTCTATTGCCTACTTGCTGAGTGCCCATGAGCTCTGAACCTGTTTTCTCATCTAAAAAATTAGAAGGTGTAATCCTTCATTCTCAGAGTGCTCTTCTGAGGATTAAACGTAAGGCCGGGCCAAGATTTCTGGCTGATGGAACTGTAAAACCAAATCAAACCTGCTACCGTAGAGTCGATTCTGACTCATAGCAACCCCATAGGACAGAGTGGAACTGCCTCATAGAGTTTCCAGGGAGCAACTGGTGGATTCGAACTGCCGACCTTTTGGTTAGCGGCCAAGCTCTTAACCACTGTGCCACCAGGGGTCAGATGGGATCATGGTCAGCCACAAAAATGGATCCAAGGAGGGGTGCTCAGGGCTGGGGAGAGGCAGCAGGATAGCAGCATCTGTCTTTGGGTGTGCTGCCCCTGGGGAAGACAGAACCAAAGGGAGCAGAGGCAACAGGCAAAGGGCTTTGGGCTCAGTATTAACTCCTTTTGAGATCTCGTCAGATGATGCCTTCTATCTGTAGGTGAAGACTTCAGAAAATGAGATAGGGCTTGTTCAAAGTTACTTAGGCATAATAAAGTCCTCTGTTAAAACCAGTTTGTTATCTGCCTATTTACAATTCAGCACCTGGAGTTGCTGCCTTCTCCAGCTCCATCCCAATGTTTAGTAGGTGTTTCATGGGTACAGCTCTCTTTCTACTACCCCTGGCCTGCAGGGTGACCTCTATGTCAGAGGGGTCATTGTGCTTAATGCCACACCCCATCTAGTTGACATCTGCTTTAGCTCCAACCAGAGAGAACACTTTTGAAATAGAAATGCACTGTCATCAAAACAGTGAATGGTGTGTCACACCCTGGGCCAGCCACAGCCCAGAAGCAGGGCACATGGTATACAGAACCTGGGAGCCAAAAGCAGGTACTAGCCAAGTTAAGTCAAGAGGTGCTCTGCCCCGGGAAACTTCTGCCCTCTCTTGGGTGGAGCCCAGAGTTTTCAACGGGAATCCTTTCATGATGACTGGATGGGCGCTGTCAGGTTCAGGGTAGAAGACTCTGACTTGATTACTGGCGGTCTGATTCTCTGTGCCACCTCTGGGCAATGGCAGCTTTGCACAAGCTACCTGACTTCCATCTATCCACCAATTCATTCACTCATTCGTAAGTACTTGCTCAGCTCCTGGTAAGTCCCTAGCTCTGGGTTCAGGGAGGAACAGGCAGACCTCATAGAGCATCCGTTTAATGAAAGGGTTCAACTGCCTTGATAATAACTCCTTGCAGCCAAGTTTTCTGGATGGATTTTGGTGGGAGTGTTTATCCATTCACACTGAATTAGAGTCAGAAGATCCAGGGGAGCAATGTCTGGCAGTGTAGATTGGATTGTATCACCACTCTTTCTTCCATGGCTTCCCATTACTCTTGGAATAAAGATCAAAATCTTGAATAAGGCCCTGCATGGTCTGGCCTCATCTCCCACCTCTCTCCCCCTCACTTTCTGTGCTTCTACTCCCAAAATGGACCATACTCCCTCCTATCACAGGGCCTTTGCACATACTATTTTCCTTTGCCTGGTTGTTCTCTGTGGTGAACAGACTTTAAGGTAATGGCCAAGACCCCCGCCTTCTGGTGTTCACACCCTTGAGTGTGGCTGGGACATGTGACTTTCTTCTAACCAATAGCATATGGCAAAGGTGAGGGGATGTCGCTTGTGTGATTATGTTGTTAAGATGTCATCTTGCTAGCAGACTCACTCTCTCTCTCTGTTGCTGATTTTGAAGATTTAAGCTGCTGTGAGCCCTGAGGAAATGGACTCTGCCAACAACCTGAGTGAGCTTGGCAGTGGACCCTTCCCCAGTCAAACATCCACATGAGAACTCAGCCCTGGTTGACACCTTGTTTGCAGTCTTGCAGAGGACCCAGCTAAGTCATGGCTGGACTCCTGACCCATAGAACTATGAGATAATTAGTGTGTTGTTATAAGCTACTAAGCTTGTGGTACTTTGTTACACAACACAGAAAACCAATGTATTCACATAGTTGACTCCTGCTCATCCCTTATCATTCCCATCCCACTCAGATTTGTTTTCTCTACAGTCTCTTCCAAGACCCAATCTCCTTGTTATAGGCTCTCATGACACTGTGCACCCCTCCTCCACACGACCTGTACAGTTATCATTGTGATTATTGAATTAATATCTGCCCTTCACTAGACTATAAGTCCCATGAGAGCAGGACTTTGCCTGTCATGTTCTCTGCTTTCCCCCAGGGCCTAGCACAGAGCCTGGCACATGGGAGGTACCCAGTGAATATCCTGAATAAATAAATGATCTGTTCCTTTTAACTCAGAACTGAAGACACTCCCGAAGTTCACCCTTCCGCCAAAGATTAGACAGGTCTATAAAACCAACAATAACACACGTAAGGAACATGCTTCTTAGTTCAGTCATGTATACAAGACCGAAAGGGCAACACC